GATAATTTGATTCACACATACACACACATGCACACACAGTTTATCTCTACACTTTTACACCAAAACTAAAAAAGAAAGTCTCCAAAATGACATGCTGTTAAAAACTGTTGGTCACAATAAAACATTCTCCTTTCTTTTTTTAAACTGACACTTCCTTTTTTCCTAAGATTGTTTTAGTTCGGTAGAGGAGAAATACTTCAGCGATGTTCTACAGTGACAACAGAGAAGCTGAACTGCAGTGTAAGGGACCACCAGTCGACCAATCACACATAAAGAGGTGACGCTGTCGAGGTCAGATCTGGTCCTCAGGATGTGGTCATTCTGAGGACACGGTCACCCTGGACCAATCAGCTACAAACTAAAAGAAAATCTAACCCTGTTGAAGATCACCTTTGTATTTTCTCGCCTACTGTAACAATATGTCCACATCCACCACCCTGGGAACAACTGGGTTAGATGATGAATAATACTGCTCTCTCTCTCTCTGTCACACACACACACACACACAGTCTGTGTCTCTCACCCTCCTTTTCAACAGTCTCTCAAAAGTGTAGACACTGAAACAACCTTTGTGAAACATTATCTATTTCCTAACACACACACACACACACACTCAGAGGGTTCTTCTCTGTGGTGACGGAGGGTCATATTTCTCACTTTGATCTTCACCTCTCCCTCTGTTTTCATCCGGAAAAACACACACACACACCTCACACACACACAGAAGTAAGTGAAGCATTAACTCTCCTACTCCTCTTATTCCACCTCCCACCATCCATGATGATGCTGGACAGAAAAACATGACAAAAACACCAAAGAATCCACATGTCAAGTCTGAGTCCAGTCCTGCGGTCTTCAGTCAGTCGGTAAATCAGCCGCTGATCGTTGGAGACGTGGATCAAAACTTGTAAATTGGTAAAACACACGAACCCCATCGGCTGATTTTAAACTTTAACTGCATCTTAATTATTGACCAGAAACGTTTCAATCCCATTGATTAGATTGTAGATTGTAGATTGATTGTGGGTTTACACACACGCACACACACACACACACACACACTCACACAGCTGCAGTGAGGTGACCTGAGCTGCCCAACCGACGCTTTAACCTTTATCAATTAACCAACAGCACAAAGTGGAGCTGAAACAAGACACACAAATGAACACGCACACACAAGCACAAACAGTTACGCACGAACAACAAAAACAATACAATAGCACATACAGACACACACACACACACACACTCAGGCGTTTCACAACCGCAGAGATGTAACCTGAGCCACAGTGACAACTGATAGCTCTTTTTGTACACACACACACACACACACACACACACAGGCACACACACCTCAGCCAGGAGGCAAGTGTGTATGTCTCTGTGTGTGTTTTACAGACCACTGTGTTCCATTAAAAAAACGTAATGCTCCATGTAAAAGAATAAAAAACAAATGGATGACAAGAGTTCATGCTGTGTGTGTGTGTTTGTGTGCATGCGTGTGTGTGTGGGCTCTAACAGCCTGTCTTGATAAGGACAGCCCAGAATAACACACTCCGACATCAGCGGCCCTCCCTCCTGTCGCCCGCTATCGATTTCACACACAAACACACATTTAAACCCCCACAAACCAAGGATGTGTGGAGGTGGAAGAAGAACCTCAGCTTAGACGTGTTCCTTATCATCTTCACAAAAGTCCTACCAGTGTTTGTCCAATCAGTGTCTTCACACCATACAAGCTACACCTGTTTGCTGCAACCACATTGAACCACCCAGGCAAACAGTTCTTGACTACCACAGTAGGATGTAGACCAATCAGTGCTGAGTTTTACAGGAGATGTACAATTTGAAATGTGGGTGAATTCCAAATTTGGGTAATTTAATTTGATTGGTCACCACATGTGATAGACAGCTGTGTTGTCCAATTAGAGCCAGGAGAAACCTTAAAGTTTTACAACGACTGGACCTATATTACATTTACCTCCTGATTAGACCAACAACACATGTTTACTGTACATATATAAAGTAGGTTAACACCAACATGTGAAGATATAACTGCATATAACTTCAGCTGTAGTCAGCACAATCCTACAGACATTATAAGGTGCTTATATCACCCCCCTGGTGGTCGTCTACAATGCAGTTTGTTAGCTCCTGCCCTGTGCTGAAAAAACTCAAGAACAAAGATGGACGTAGCTAGTGAGGCAAAAAACTGAAAAAAAAAAAGAAAAAAATCACAGCTGGAAGTTTCTTTCTCTTTGTTCACTTCTTTCTGAATGGTTAATTTTGCCAAGTGTGAAAGTGAGGGCCACAGTGTGTACGTGAGAGAGAGAGAGAGAGAGAAAGGTATTAGAGGAATGCGAGGATGACCAAGGGAGAGAGAGTTCGCTGAGCGTTCAACAACAATGGCTCTCCAACTGTGTTGTTCTATGTGCATTCACTGTTCACATGATCCATTATCACTCCTGACATGTACCACTGTGTGTATGTGCGTGTGTGTGAGTTCACAGATAGCCCCGAGAGTCAGATAAAAGGGAGAAAGTGTGACCAGTTGATAAAAAGAGTCAAAAATAGCAAATGAGACGCAGAGAAAGAAAAACAGAGGAGACGACTGCATGTGTTTGTGTGCAGAACGAAACCCAATCTGCCCTAAATGATCAGCAGACATCGACGCAAACTATCACTTTCACCTAAAAAAGCTACGGACAGATCACAGGTAACAGTGAAAAAACACTGTCACTTTATTGTACACAATGTTATGTCGTTCTTCTTGTCTGCAGACCAGAGTCCTTAGAGAGAACCAGTGATTTTAGAACATCACAAATGTGTGGTATTTTGTGACGTGACTGATTAAAATATTCCTCAAACTGACCACAGGAGGCAGTGGTGGACCAACAGCTTGTGTCCCTGTGAACTTAAATCACTGATTTTCTTCTATAGTCTGAAATGACTGTCTTTCTAAGTGGTTGATCAAAAGTGCGTTCACAGTGTGATAAAGTTGTGAAGATATTTTTAAGACATTTTATTTTAATTAGTGGAATCTTTTGTTAACTGGTTAAAAAAAAAATTAACCTTGACCTTGATAGATCAACTCAAAGTGTGTGTGTATATATATATATATAACTTTGTTAGACATTGTTATTGGTATATAGAAAGGAAAGTTTTATCTGTCACAAAGTAAAATTGCGTACGTGCACAGAAATGCACACAGAGAGAGAGAGAGAGAGAGAGAGAGACAGTGGGAACATCTTTCCATCAAACATTAACAGCAGCTTGTTATTGGTTATATTTCACTGAATAAGCAGAAAAAAAACAGGAATGTGGTGATTAACTAAACAGGAAGTGGTGTCTGAGATTACGGGTGCCGTCAGTTTTCTGTGAAGGAATATTTCTGTTTAAACAAGGCTGAAAACTATTGAAGAAATATGGTATATGTGTTTTTGAGTCAAAATAAGATAATCACAGATAAACCTATGAATTATTATGTATACATAATCGACCGACGCAAATGGAACAAAAAATAAATAAATAACAGTTAAAATATCAGATATATATCAGACATTATCAGACAAAGAGCCAAAGAGTGTACTATAAAGGCCTGATATAATAAAAATCTAAAGACAATCACTAACAATAACCAAAAACTTTGATTTACAGCCTTAAATCAAGTATTTTAAAAAGTACAGCCTGAGCTCAAGCCTCTGAGGAAAGTCTGTCGTCAGAGGAAAATCTTTTTTTTAACAAAGACATGACAACTAATGAACATTTTTGAAAACATTATTCAAATGTACAATCTGATATGTTCAACCTATGTCTGAGATAAATGGATAGGAATATCAAGAAAGACAAGTCATGGCCTAACAGAGGTTTAAATAGGATTGAAAAGTGTGTGTGTGTACGTTTGTGAGTACGGTCAATAAAAATACATTCTTATTCTGGGCTTAAAATTAGTTAAATTAGCTAATTGGTTAAAATGATAGGTTAGCTTTACCATAAAAAAGTAAAAATATAATATATTGAAATAATTCTCATATTAACCTTTAGCATAAGCAGATAAAACTACAGATAGAACTATAATCACTTATTAGATTGAATTGTATTAGAAAGTAAACAAAGTAGTTCATAATTAAAGTAGTTTATACTTTTAAGATAAAAAGGCATTTAAACACTAAGGTCTAAAAGTAATGAAGCTGTAGACTATAATTAGAAAACAAAACTAGAACTGATAAGACAATTATTTATAAGATTATGAATCACAATTGAGGTTAATAAAGTACTGTAGCTGGTCACACATTTTATTTTAGCATGTCTGTTTCTTACTATATAATGACATTACATTTTTAATGACAGCATTAAAATGAATATTTCCAGGCAGATTATTTATGACTCTAACTAATCTAAACTAACTTTTATGTAAATTGCGATTGTTGATCAAAAGTGTGTTAGGATTTAATTATGATGTATTCACTGTTCTCATACATATGTGGTGTCGTCATTGGACTGAAATGACTTTTTGACAAAATGATTAATTGTTCAAATGTACAAATTCAGGGAAATATATTATGTAATCATTTAGAATTTGGATGTAAACTACTGTCATGAGAGACTGTTTTTACAGAGATCATACTTTACTGTCTTTTCCCGCCGTCACTGAGCGTCGCAATAATAATAATTATAACATAAAATATATATTTATTAGAAAGTTAGACCGTAATTGTTGTTGTTTGAAGCAATACTGTTCAGCGCTAAATCTTATCTATCAGTTATTTTAAGTATAAAATACGGAACCGCGTGACGTAAAACTAATTGAAATCGTTTCAATCGAGTTTCAAGTCAAAGTTGAGAGACAGACAGTGACTTTTTCTCTGTGCGAAAAACGTTGCTGGAAACGGATGTGATGACAAGTACGTGCGTGAAGGGGCTTCACTCCGCTCCTCTGTGCGTGTGCACGCGCGGATGTGGAAATGACCAGTAATCAATAACAGATTTGAGTTTCCTACCTGGCGCTGGTGCAGTCCTGGTACAGAATCTCGAAGTCCTTCCTGGAGATGAGTTTGCAGCGGTTCACTCCGGGCTGGATCGCGCCGAGTCCGCGAAGGACGCGCACCTGCTCCACCGTACACACGACGGGCACAATGTCCAGCCGCTTCAGCTTGGTGTAGACGGTGTGGAGCCCCCCCACCAGGTGCTTCAGGAACAGGTCGAACACCTGCGGCAGGCAGATGAGCTCGTGACCGTCCACGCAGAAACTAGCCACCTTCACGCCGTGCACATCTACCAGCTTGCACTCGCTGCTGGTGGGACATGAGGAGGAGGTGGTGTGCTGCTGAGCCAAGCCCGGCGAGGTGAGAGACTGTAGCCCAGTTAGGGTGCCCAGACCCGGGGACAGCAGAGAGCCGGGAACTCCGCCTGGAGCTCCTCCAGAGCCCGGAAGAAACGCGCCAAGCATGGATGAGGAGGAGGAGGAAGAGAGTCGAGGAGACGGACACACGGAGTGGACGGTGTGAGGGCTGGAGGTCCCGGTGCGGGAGACTGAGGAGGAGGTGTCCGGAGCTGCCCGGTACAGTGCCACAGGGGTCGGAGCACCGGAACCTGGCGTGTGGAGCGGAGGAGAGCCGCGGAGCGACATTGAGGAGGCGCACGGTCAGTTTGTCCTACTCTTTCTATTAAGTTTTAAATAAAAAAAACACTTTTCAAGTCTTTTCTCCTATTTTCGGTCACTTTTTCTTCGTCTTCACCTCCTCTTCTTTGGCTCCTCCCAAACCTCTCTCGGTCCGTGCTCGGCCGTGGACTGTCCGTTCTGTGCGTAAAAACCGACCAGCCTCTGAGTCCAGGTCAGTGGCCCCGCCCCATTTGTGAGTGATATCCTAGTCAGCAAATCAGAGCAGAGATGGTGTTTGAGGCTGATCTATGGTTGGTGGAGGTTGAGGAGGAAGGACAGAGGAAAGGAAAGAAAAGAGAAAACACGCTGGAAAGTAGCGAAGGAAGGATGGAAGGAAGTTAGGAAGGATGGAAGGAAAAATGGAGGGACGGATAGAAAGAAGGATGGAAGTAGAGAGGGAATAACAGGGAAGAAAATACTGTAGTAGGAGAGAAGGAAGAAAGCAATTAGGACATAAAAATATGAAAATATAGAAGGATTGAAGGAGGAATAGATTATAAGAAGTAGAAGAGAGAGGAAGGACAACTGGAAGAACAGATGACAAGGAACAGGAAAAACAAAAAAAAGATTTAAGAAACAAAAACAAACCTAAGAAGTAAAAAAAGATGAAGAATGAAGGAGAAATGTGGGCCAAAGGGAAGGAAAGGAAATAAGGGAGGATCTTCCATGAACTTTCTCATGAACTAATATTCATTTGATTTATCTGTCTCCCACTTTTTCAGTTGTGTGTGTGTGTGTAACGGTGTCCGTCCAGTTGTGGCTCAAATACGAGCTCTGCTGGTGAGAGTGAGACATGACCTGATAAGATAAATTATTCATGTAAATGAAGCGATGACTAATTAAATAATAATTGTACTGCAAAAATATAATAGGAAAGAACCAAAGAACGAACTGTGTGTGTGGAGGAGGGTAGCAGTGTTTTATAATCCCATGTAATCTTAAACAATTGGGAGAGGTATTTATTTCTAATAATAATAATAATAATAATAGTAATAATAATGATAACAATAATAAAAACAACAAAAAAATAAATCTGAGTCTTATTATTGCTTGACTATAATGTGTACAGGTGGATTTAGTCATGATTTTATATGAAAAGCTCTTTTTCTCATCGTTTTCTCTACATAAATGATTGATGACATGTAAATGGATCCTAATATAATATATTCACAAGCATCAAACGAGACATTGAGCCTTTAAATTTAACTCACAATCTGCCGTAGTGCTGGTCCTGACCCTCCCCTCAGCAATCACTATATTCTTCTTCTGTGTTGCTCAGCGGTCTTTCATCCTTTAAGTGTCTTTACTGCCACCTGCTGCCTCTTTTTTCCACCCAGGAAGGTTCCTGCCACTTGTGAAAAGAAAAGAAAAAAAGGAAATATTCTGCCTTAATTACAACACTCTTAATGGTCACCAGCCTCAGACAACATTTACAGCATCAGCTTGAAGTGGAGGTCTGCAGATGTTTGACCAAAGACAGTCACCAAAAACACCAAAATGAAGAAGAGACAAATCTGAGGAATATTTAAGAGCAGGCTCTCTTTACTTCTTCTGGATTCATGAATGAAGCAGAGCTGCAGGCTATATGTGTGTGTGTGTGTGTGTGTAATGTGTAACAACAACTACAACTGCAAACAGGAGATTTGAAAAACAATGTGCGCACATAGGCACACACACACACACACACACACACACTTGTCATCACTCGAGGCCATCAGGATTTATTTAGCTTTTATTTATACAGGCTTAAAGTCAAACCATCCATCTAACACACTGTAGCCTCCAGCTTCCATTGTTATGTGTGTGTGTGTGTGTGTGTGAACAGCAGATGACAATCTATAAGGGTGTGTGTATGAGTTTGTAAGTTTATTGTTTGCGCTGATGTACGGTAATTCAAAGATGATATATATACGTGTGCGTGCGCATGAGTGTGTGTTTTTCCCATCACCCTCTGCAGCTCCTTCGGCATTGATGCTGACAGCCACTTGTGTTTCTTTAATAATCTAATTCAACAACACAATTACCAAGTGTCACACTGCACTGCAAGGGGCTGCACCAAGTGACAGCCAAGTCCTTATATGGACATCAAGTTTTCAGTTTGTTAAGTCTGTGGACAAATGTATGATTCAAAGATTAACACACATTGGACAGAAAATATATGAAGGGACAATATTTCTATTGTATATTTGATGCAGAGGTTCATTTCCTGCCCGGCTGTTTGACCACCACGGTTGAAGTACAATCAATGTCAGTGGTTTACAGTTACCATGTATGGTCATGGTTTTGTAGTTTTTAGATACGCTTGATGCTGTTTCTATAATGACCACAATTTTTATATTTCACCTTTTGGGTCTGGAACAACAATTGTCCAACTATTGATAGTGCAAGTATTTGTTTGGTGTTGGATCATTAAGATCTGTGATCTGTAAAAACAAACCAATAAAACAGCTATAGTAGAAGTTAGCAGAGAAATGCCAAAAATTAAAATTTAGTATGAAATAATATACATTTTGATCTCAATCTAGCAGAAAAAAAAAATTAAATGTCAGCCAAGAAGACGGACATGAATTAATGTATGAATCAAGACAATGTCTTGTCTGCCATGTCCATACCAGAGCTGTTGGTTCTTTTTAGCTTTTTGAAACAAAATGACTACAAAATCCCCTGACCAATAATTTGCATCACAAGTTTAAACAGTTTAAACCAGGTTTAAACTTTAAACCAGGACCAAAATGTAAAATAAAACCTTGCAACAGTAAAACGAGGGGAGACATTTAATCCATAAAACACAGTTTTTGGCATGGCTGAGTTTCCTCTTCTTTCTCTCTCGTCCCTCCACCATCCTGTCCTCCACCTCTCCTTCCCTCTTTGCCCTTCATCCTCCCTTCTCTTTATCACTCCACTCATAAAAGCCGCTCATCCAGAAAGAACGGAGTTTAGAGGAGGAGGAGGAGGTGAGAGAGATGAACAAGGGTTAAAGACAAGGACGGGAGGAGATAAAGAGACGAGGATGAAGAGAGTGAAAGAGGAATTAAAGACAGGGCGGTAAAATCAGTCTGAACTGACCCAGAGAATCTGTGGACATTTTGTGTGAATTTTTTATATACTGTAATACGGTGTTAAACTCTGCACAGTTGTCATTGTGACAAGAAAATCTCCACTGTATACAGTTTAATGAGATCAGTTTATTAGGTGCACCAGACGCAGCCGAACACCGTCCACACCCAGAGAATGAGACTCTTCGGAGGTTGGACTTTGTTAAAGCTGGTCTGGTTTAGACTTTACAGTTAGTTTGTTTGACTCCAGGAGACACTTCTGAAGCTTGGATGATATAGTACATCACATTCAAAACATCACTGTGCACACACTCCCATACCATTGGCTTAAATACTTTGTCTTTGCTTTTGGTTGTGAGGTCAAAGGTCATTTATGATTTGTGGTCTGTGATCTGTTTTGATCATCATGAAGTGCGTCATTTGAGTTTTCTACTTCGCATATACTCTAGCTCAGTTCAAGGCCATTTTAGCTGTTTTCAGTATGGTGGTCTCTGGTCTTTCTACATTTACAGAGTTGTTGGGTTGACCTGCTTGGACAAGAGGAGTCTCAGATTATAGTTCTCAGATTATTGCATAGGCTTAGTTTTTGAACAAACCATTTCTCATTTTTAAATGTTTTTATGTTCTTCACATGAACTGCCCTTCATGTTTAGGTGTGCTACTTTTTCATGTGAGTGGACACAGAGGAGGAAGGAGAAAGAGAGGGAGAGTGAGAGAGATAGAGAGAGAGGTGTACAGAAAAAGAGGAAAAAAGAGTGAAAGAGCAGGTCTCAAGGTGACGAGTCATTGTCCTAATTCCTCTTTTAAAACCACTAAAGAGGCCAAAACAGTCCTTTCCCTCTCTCTCTGTTTTCCCACCCTCCTCTAATGTCTCTCACTCATTCTTTTCTCCCTGTCTTTACTAAAGAAGGTTAAACACATCCTCACTTCTTTTCTCTCTTTTTATATTTAACTCGTTCTCCTTTAGCATTTACATCCCTTTATCCTAACGCTCTCTCTCCCTCTCTCCCTCTCGCACGCTCTTTCTCTCTCTGTTCCTGTCGCCTTTGCCAGCAGCGATGTCTTCAAACTCTGATTGATGATGCTCGCCGTCGGTTACCGTCGTGTCCTGCTTTCTGTTTTTACCCAACTACTCTTTACTCACTCACTCTTATCTCTCTGTCTCTCTCCCTCTCTCTCTCCCCAAACTTTTTTAACTTTTCATCAAACTGCTGATATGAAAGTCAGGGTCATGAGTGTGTGCATGTTCAAAGTAATGCAAGGACTTTTCCTTAAATATCCACAACAAATGCTCACTTCAGCTCTGCTTATGTGTGTGAGGAACCAAATGCAAACTGTTTTTAGATCAAACAACTTATAATGTATAACAATATTTGATAATCTGTCTGTGTAGTTGTTGATAAATACATTTAAGCCTAAAAAGTTAAAAATGTTCTTTGTAGACATTGTTGAAAACTAAAACCTACATAGAACATTAATGCACCTCTGAAAGATAGATAGATAGATAGATGGATAGATGGATAGATAGATAGATAGATAGATAGATAGGTGAATGGATAGATGGATAGAGTTAGTGCAGTTATTAACGAAGAGTTTTACTGAGGGTGTTTTAAATGTTTATTTCATTATTAAGGTATAATCAGCATCATCAATCACTGTGACAGCCTCCTATTGTCAGAGTGTCTGTCACACACTGCACCGCTGTGTGTGTGTGTGTGTGTCAAGACAAATAGAGTAAGAGGCGGTGAGCGTGTGTTTGACTCAATTTTAACAAGGTGTGTAAAATCAATAGTCCTCATCTTAAGGCAAGGGACAGAGGAGACGGTGCAAGGCGATAAGGGAAGGGGGCAGAGTGAGAGGAAGGAGGCAGGAAGGACAGATGGAAGCACTATGAAACGAAAAGGGTAGTTAAATTTCAATTAAAAATAACAATGAGATACTGTATGTCTGTGAAGTTTGCAAACCCACCACACTCACAGTAAACCCACAGAGAAGAAGCTGTGATATCAAATCACAGGTGCACACATGGAGTTGCTGGTCCACTGTGGCTACATCACTGAAATCAAATGCCTTATATTTTGCTTGACTGTTTGAAATCCTCCCTTCAACGTCTTTG